GCTGCGCGGTTCTGCTTCTTCGCACACTCCTTCCCGCGCGCGCGCACCTCGCTGGTGATCGGCAACCTGCATGGCAGCTGCGCGCCCCATTCAAACTTCCAAGATTCATGGGCCCATGCAAGCTGCCGACGCGGTTCCGCCGGCCTGCCGCCCTTCGCCGCCCCCCCCTGCGCGGCCTCCAGCCCCGCCCCGCGTGTCTGATGCATCGGTCGGCAAAACAGACCGCATTCTGGCCGCGACGCCTCCGCTTCTGCCAGCTTCTCCACGACGTCTTCCCACCCGACGCTCGCTGAGTGCACCTGGCGACAGACTCGGCTCTTGCACTCCAGAAGCTCCTCTATGAGCTTCCGCACCTACCCTCGTGCACTCTCCCGCGCGATCTCGCATGCTCGATCCATCTGCGCATGCTGGCGCAGACTCTGTTGGAAAACTTAACAAAGCGCGCGGAGCGCGCCCGTCGACTTCTGCGCTACGACGGGCGCGCAGCACGCGCCCACCCTGCCGAACACTCCACCATCCGGCGCGGCGTTGCTGCCGAGACAATCCTGGCAGCACGGAGACACGCGCTCTCTGCGGCTGCAGCGCGGACAATTCGGACACGCGCGCAACCCGCATAGATGTCGCATCGTCGCGCCCACAGCGGCGCGATGCCCGTCCGCGCTGGCCATCGGATCCCGAGCGAGCATCTGCCCGCGCTCCGCCCAGGAGGAAAACCCCGCGCAAATCGCCGCCACCGACAATTCCAGGCGGACGTCGTCCGTCTCTGGAGCGACCAACGCCCATGCCCGACTGCAGACTTCCCGCGGCGCAGCAAAGTCGTTCGCCGCTCTGTGAACTGGGTCACGTTGCCACGCGCGCGACGGCAACGCCGCGATCGGGCCGCGCCCTTCGCCCGGGGAAAACGCGGCGAACATCGGCAACCCATAGCGCGCGCGGAGCGCGTTCGTGTTAAGCAGCATGGCCCGTCGCGTCTCCTGCGCCCCCGGCAGCCGCCGCGATGCGCGCTCGATGTTCGCGAGCAGCATGCGCGCCGCTTCACTGAGGCCAGGGGCGCGCAGCACCGTCGCCACGCCCCCCATCAACTTCTGCGCCCCGCTGTTCACGTCCAAGAACTTGCTTCCCAATGCGCGATAGATCCCCATCGCCCCTTCGCCGACTTCTTCGGGCGCCACGCGCGCCCCCGCGTCTTTCGAGCTCGCGGATGCACGCGCGAACTGCGTCTTGCCCAGGTTCGCCGCGGGCCGATGCGCAAGGTTCCACGGCGCGAATCCAAACTGCCAATCGCGGGACACTTGGCTCTGAACACTACGCGCGGAGCCTCCTTTGTGCGTCGGCATCGCGGTCGCTGCAAGAACTCTGGCACGTTCGGCATGCCTGCGCAGCGCTTGAAGACGAAAGCGAAAGCCACCCCGCAGCACTGCGGCTTGAACTGTGCATAAGCGCACTCCATCAACGCGTTTGACCTCCACCAACGCTTGCGTCGCCATCCGCACCTCCTCCTCCGCCCTTCCCAGCGCGTCGCTCAGCTCAGGACCCGGATTTTCCGATCGCCTGCGCTTCTCCCGGCGCTGTCCGCCCCCCAACCGGCCCCCGCTATCCCCCGCGCTGCCCTCGGCCCCGACGCGCGCGCAGACTGGCGCCAGCCGCGGGATGAAACCCCGCACGGCCTCCGCGCGCCGGACGGTGATGCCCCCATCATCGAAGCGACTCTTTTCGAGAACCACGGCATTCCCCTTCGCGCTCTCCAGGGTCTCCGCTGCTTCCTCCAGCCCATCCGGTCGAAGCGCTGGCGTCGCTAATCTCCGGCGGCGCATCGTTCTCAGGAAGCTTCTTAGCCTGCTCGCGCGCTTCGTCCACGCAGACATGCCGGCGCGCTCGATGGCCGCGCGTCTGCGCACCCTCAATCAACTGCACGACCGCGCTCCGACGAACTAACGCATTGAGAACGAACTTCGCCGCTCTCGTCGCCGCATCGTCGCCGCCCCCCACTTCAATATCACCGACGCAATCCAAGCGGGATCAGCGCCAGACCGTGGCAGCACGGGCGGCGCTCCCTCCGACGCCCCCTCGTCCGCGGCGAGGAGCTGCGCCAGCGCGTCCGCCCATGGACTCGGGAACGACGTCGCGTTTCTGCGCGCCGCCATTCGACTCGCGTTGCATCCCGCCTCCACGTCCAAGGCTCGCCCGCTCCGAAACCGCTTCCCCAAGGCGAACACACCATGGGCGTCGCGTCACGCACGCGGACACGCAAATTATCTCGAGCACCGCCATTTTCCCTGCGAAGAGAAGAGCTCCTCCGGCGAGTAGAACGTCATCATGTCATTCGCGAGATCCGCGGGCGGCAAGAGCGCTTCTCCTCTCGGACTCCTCGCACAGCGGCGCCTCGCACCGATCGCGCACCGCGGCCCCCTCCTGCCAGGCGTCCGTGCTGAACCGAATCTCTTCGGGGCAACGCAACACGTTCACGCGTCTTTCGGGCGAGGTAACTGACGCGTGCCAGTCGCCAAATTCATCCGATTGATCCCGCAGGTGCACGTTGCTTCCCAACTTCCCGTACCGATCCACGTTGCTGTCCACGGACATGTGCTCCCCAACGAGCGAGCCTGGCAGGCCAAAGATGCCATCCAGATTCGTCGACACCTCCTGCCATGCAATCGGATTCCCCGAGCGCTCCTCCACGCGCGGAAACTTTCGCGCGCGCACTAAGCAAGCCAAAGAACTCACAGCTTCCTCCCCCAAGCTTTCTGCGCATGCACGGAGACATCGCCGGTCAATAGAGCGTCCAAGCCACGGCATCGCTGTGCGCAGACATGTTCTGCACCTCTTCGCTTTGGCTTTGCGAAACACTCTAGGCTGCCCCGATGCCCCTCGAGCACGAGAGCGCAGAGGTCCGCATGAATGAACCCTTGCCAAGGACAAGATCTGAACGCGCAGCGCTTGCTCGGCAATTCCACTGCTCCTGCCGACCCGACGTCCCCGAGGTCCACAGCCGCGCCGCCAGCTGAATATACAGGCAGTGCTGGTCCGTCCTTCAACACGTTATCCGCGACCCATGTCAAGTTTTTCTCCCATCGCCCCCGCGGGTCCTCGGACGCCGCCGCGGCGCGAACGCGGTACACGTGCACGAACCCGCTCTCGTCCATCTCTTCGGTCGCGCGCTTTCCGCCCCCTCTCTTTCCGGGATAGGAAAACGACGACACGACGCACTGTTTCACAGACCCACACAAGCACACACTTACTGTTTTGGCGATCGCGCTCTCGCGCGCAGCGAGGAGTCGGAGACCACGCGCCCACACGCACAAGCACACACACACACATACACACACACACACACACACACACACACACGCACACACACACGCACACGCACACACGCACACACAGACACACACACACCATACACACACACACACACACACACGCGCGCTCCGCCCGGGACGATGAAGATGTGCACGACGGGAGGAGGGAGACGGCGAGGAGAGAGAAGACGTTCAAGGGCAATATGCCAGGATCGTTGGGTTCAGACTCTGTCCGGCCCTCTGAATGGTT